TCCCGCATAGTCGCAGTGCGATTGGCGACGATGGCTTTTGAGGAGATTCTTTAGCGTCGCGCTATGTGAGGTGCCAAGAACACGAAAAGTCAATGTCAAATTTCGCGTTCCTGTTGAAGCAGAGGACCGATTTAGAGCGTGCCCTTGCGATCCCGCATAGTCCCAGTGCGATTGGCGACGATGACTTTTGAGGAGATTCTTTAGCGTCGCGCTATGTGAGGTGCCAAGAACACGAAAAGTCAAAGTCGAATTTCACGTTCCTATTGAAGCAGAGGACCGATTAAGAGCGTGCCCTTGCGATTTCGCATAGTCCCAGTGCGAGTGGCGACGATGACTTTTGAGGAGGTTCTTTAGCGTCGTGCTACGTGAAGTCCCGATCACACGAAAAGTCAAAGTCAAATATCGCGTTCCTATTGAAGCAGAGGACCGATTTAGAGCGTGCCCTTGCGATCCCGCATAGTCCCAGTGCGATTGGCGACGATGACTTTTGAGGAGATTCTTTAGCGTCGTGCTACGTGAAGTACAGAAAACACGAAAAGTCAAAGTCGAATTTCACGTTCCTATTGAAGCAGAGGACCGATTTAGAGCGTGCCCTTGCGATCCCGCATAGTCCCAGTGCGATTGGCGACGATGACTTTTGAGGAGATTCTTTAGCGTCGCGCTACGTGAACTGCCGAAAAGACGAAAAGTCAAAGTCGAATTTCGCGTTCCTATAGAACCAGAAGACCGATTTAGAGCGTGCCCTTGCGATCCCGCATAGTCCTAGTGCGATTGGCGACTATGACTTTTGGGGCGATTCTTTACCGTCGTGCTACGGGAAGTGCCGATCACACAAAAGTCAAAGTCTAATTTCGCGTTCCTATTAAAGCAGAGGACCGATTTAGAGCGTCCCATTGCGATCCCGCATGGTCCCAGTGCGATCGGCGACGATGGCTTTTGAGGAGGTTCTTTAGCGTCGTGCTACGTGCAGTGCCGAACACAAGAAAAGTCAAAGTCGAATTTCGCGTTCCTATTGAAGCAGAGGACCGATTTAGAGCGTGCCCTTGCGATCCCGCATAGTCCCAGTGCGATTGGCGACGATAGCTTTTGAGGAGATTCTTTAGCGTCGCGCTACGTAAAGTGCCGAAAACACGAAAAGTCAAAGTCGAATTTCGCGTTCCTTTTGAAGCAGAGGACCGATTTAGAGCGTGCCCTTGCGATCCCGCATAGTCCCAGTGCGATTGGCGACGATGACTTTTGAGAAGGTTCTTTAGCGTCGTGCTACGTGAAGTGACGAAAAGACGAAAAGTCAAAGTCGAATTTCGCGTTCACATTGAAGCAAAGAACCGTTTTAGAGCGTGCCCTTGCGATCCCGCATAGTCCCAGTGCGTTTGGCGACGATGACTTTTAAGGAGATTCTTTGGCGTCGTGCTACGTGAGGTGCCAAGAACACGAAAAGTCAAAGTCAAATTTCGCGTTTCTATTGAAGCAGAGGACCGATTTAGAGCGTGCCCTTGCGATCCCGCTAGTTCCAGTACGGTTGGCGACGATGACTTTTCAAGAGATTCTTTAGCGTCGTGCTACGTGAAGTGCCGAAAACACGGAAAGTCAAAGTCGAATTTCGCGTTCCCATTGAAGCAAAGGACCGTTCTAGTGCGTGCCCTTGCGATCCCGCATAGTCGCAGTGCGATTGGCGACGATGACTTTTGAGGAGATTCTTTAGCGTCGTGCTTCGTGAAGTCCCGATCACACGAAAAGTCAATGTCGAATTTCGCGTTCCTATTGCAGCAGAGGACCGATTTAGAGCATGCCCTTGCGATCCCGCATTGTCCCAGTGCGTTTGGCGACGATGACTTTTGAGGAGGTTCTTTAGCGTCGTGCTACGTGAAGTGCCGAAGAGACGAAAAGTCAAAGTCGAATTTCGCGTTCCCATTGAAGCAGAGGACCGATTTAGAGCGTGCCCTTGCCATCCAACATAGTCCCAGTGCGATTGGCGACGATGGCTTTTGAGGAGGTTTTTTAGCGTCGCGCTAAGTAAAGTGCCGAAAACACGGAAAGTCAAAGTCGAATTTCGCGTTCCTTTTGAAGCAGAGGACCGATTAAGAGCGTGCCCTTGCGATCCCGCATAGTCGCAGTGCGATTGGCGACGATGGCTTTTGAGGAGATTCTTTGGCGTCGCGCTACGTGAGGTGCCAAGAACACGAAAAGTCAAAGTCAAATTTCGCGTTCCTATTGAAGCAGAGGACCGATTTAGAGCGTGCCCTTGCGATCCCGCTAGTCCCAGTGCGATTGGCGACGATGACTTTTAAAGAGATTCTTTAGCGTCGTGCTACGTGAAGTGCCGAAAACACGAAACGTCAAAGTCGAATTTCGCGTTCCTATTGCAGCAGAGGACCGTTTTAGAGCGTGCCCTTGCGATCCCGCATAGTCGCAGTGCGATTGGCGACGATGACTTTTGAGGAGATTCTTTAGCGTCGTGCTTCGTGAAGTCCCGATCACACGAAAAGTCAAAGTCGAATTTCGCGTTCCTATTGCAGCAGAGGACCGAGTTAGAGCGTGCCCTTGCGATCCCGCATTGTCCCAGTGCGTTTGGCAACGATGACTTTTGAGGAGGTTCTTTAGCGTCGTGCTACTTTAAGTGCCGAAGAGACGAAAAGTCAAAGTCGATTTTCGCGTTCCTATTGAAGCAGAGGACCGATTTAGAGCGTGCCCTTGCGATCCCGCATAGTCCCAGTGCGATTGGCGACGATGACTTTTGAGGAGATTCTTTAGCGTCGTGCTACGTGAAGTGCAGCAAACACGAACAGTCAATGTGGAAGTTCGCGTTCCTTTTGAAGCAGAGGACCAATTTAGAACGTGCCCTTGCGATCCCGCATAGTCCCAGTGCAATTGGCGACGATGACACTCGAGGAGATTCTTTAGCGTCGTGCTACGTGAAGTGCCGAAAGCACACAAAGTCAAAGTCGTATTTCGCGTTTCTATTAAAGCAAAAAAGCGATTTAGAGCGTGCAGTTGCGATCCTGCATAGTCCCAGTGCGATTGGCGACGATGACTTTCAAGGAGATTCTTTAGCATCGTGCCCAGGTAAAAATGGCTTTTATAAAGTCTCACGGGAAGATTTATAAATACTTATAAAGTTTTATAGGGTTTCTTGTACAATTTTATAAGGTTTTATATCGAAGTATTTATGACATTTTATATAGCTTGATGTTGATTTATGAAACACTTTATAAGGTTGCACGGGGCCTTTATAAAAATTGCTTTATACAGTCGTATATACTATGTTGTATAAAACTGTATTAACTAGTACAGGCTGCTGTACTTATTCAACGTCTCTTATAAAACTGTGTGGGACCCAAATAAAACCAAATATGACTTCAAAGTTATTGAATGTAAGGATGTTGCTATGTAAAGATGAGTAGAAGATACTATGAACTAGGCAGGTAAATGCCTCTCAATAAAGGAAAAGTAGTACAGAATATCGAGCACTCATGGTAAAATTTATGAATGAATTCTAACAGTGTTTCAGTCAAAAGTATTTTATTTAACTTTGGTAAGAAAATACATAGAATGTTGAATCTTATGTTACAGAACAAATCGATACAAATGAGGCCTGACATACACATAACAGCCAATTTTTCCAACTTTCACAATATTTGATGCAAGATCTGAAAATTTTTTAGCAATAAAACGGTTGGACACAATAACAGGAATAAATTGTTCAATACATTTCAAAGTTCTAGCATGGTAAAACACTTTAGTGTGATCAACGTCAAACAGTCGAATGACAACAAAATTCTCAGTACCGCATTTGGCAAAGTATTTGATTGAACCATATTCTTGCTTTCCTTGGTGATTCCACATGACATTATAATTTACAGAATTCACAACTTTGTAAATTTCAGATGTAAAATCATCATAGCCCAACTTAGCCCTCGCATAAAATATGGAATTAGCATTAGGCAGAACAGCTAGCTCTTCTGGTGACAGCAATGTACCACTCACAACATCTCCAAGAAATTCTCCTTCAGAGAAAGAACTATCATAAGGAACATTAAGGCCATGAAGCCCTCTCACAATATTTTGTAACATTATGACGCCCTGACAGGTTTTGATGTTGTTGACAATCTCTGCATCAACATTCACTGTGCCATGTGTGGTATTAGAAACCGTTCCATTAAGGTCTTCAGAGGAGAATGCACTAAAACAGAACAATGGGCCATATAATTCTACACAGTCAGCGAGGTGACATAATTCATGAACATTATGGGTTAGTTGCCGATCCCCATACAGGGACATAAATTGAATAACAAATAGTTGCAACAGAGAGTCTGCGTCCTTCCGTTCAGCTTGCATAGTTGAGGATTTGAGAAATGTGTAAATAGATTTGACGAGCAACATGAAATGTTGTAGATAGGGGTCTGGAAGGTGACCTTGAAGAGCTGGCACAGCCTCAAACAACAAAAAATAACAAGGTAGGTTTACGCCAGACCGCGTCTTGTCGTAACAGGCTTCGCGGTGTCTCGCTGCCTGTTCCTCCAATCCACGCCTGGCGTACCTACCTTGGCCTGCGGCGCTAGCCTGCCTGCGGCAGGCAATGGCTTGTCCGTTGTCGGTTATTTTTTAACTTGTTGAATGCTGGGGGGCTCCGCCCCCCAGACCCCCCTACATTGTAAATAGAGTTGTTTTATCTACAGATAACACGATCTTGACCCTTGTCACTTTTTACTTGTCGAGGCTGGGGGGCTCCGCCCCCCAGACCCCCCTTTCTCCAAGACAGAAGCTGTCTATCTGCAGAAATCTCTATTTTTCGCCGTTTTTTAGGTGTTTTTCGCCTATAAAAACTGAACCAGTTGAGCTAGGATAGTGAAATTTCGCGTGTGCCGAGCCAAGGACATACCTAAGAAGTGTGCAAAATCTCACCGAGATCGGCCGAGCCGTTCAGGAGGAGTAGTGCGGACAGACAGACCGACAGACAGACAGACAGACCGACAGACAGACAAAACTTTTCAACCCCACTGGAGTAACAGGCTTCGCTATCGCTCAGCCAATAATAATCAGATGCTTTCCAACTTTTAAAATTTTTAAGTTGCCTCACTGATCTATGAACAAAACTGGGGTGCTTGAAAGTTGCTAAGAAAGCATCAATTTCAGAAATTCTATGTTTTATACTCCAGGGACCTGGTTTTGAACACCAAATAACTACTAATTGTCTGACTACTCCAATTAAAACTGAGTGGAGGTATTCAGGCACGATACACTTTGATATATCTACTGAAGGTATAATGCTTAAAACAGAAGGACCTTTTACCCCCTTAACGGATTTCTTGTTTTCCAACACTGCTGTTTCAGCTTGATGTAACATTCATTCTTTAGTACGCAAAGGAGGATTAGGTACATAATGGTAAACTCTTACTGCTTTGCGGCCTGGAACATGTACACTTCTCTGTAACTTAATTTCACAAATATTGCAACCATATTTACTGTTGAAGGCCTTAATATTTTGAACCATGGCTCGAGCTGGAGCATCCAAAATAGTGACTGGTAACCGGACACAACTCTTATGTACTTCTCCCGTGGTGGGGTGAGTCCACTCAACACCATTTAGATCAAGATGTTGTAAAGATTCCGCAAACGGTTTAAGAAACACTCTCATGTCTGGTTTTACTGAATGATACCACACACCTACTACAGTTAGAAAAGACCTTTGCAAATTAATGGGCAACTCGACAATTGAAATCATTGCTAGCCATAATTCACTTTTGCCTCCCTTTCTGACTCTAAGACCATCAGCACTAAGAGAAAGATTCACATCATACCTCGCTCTTTTTTTATTTAAAGATTAATACACACTACCATCTTTTAAATCGGTCAGTAGCTTAGGATCTCTATTACTTCTTTTTCTTGCTTCATTATCCATAAGATCTGCCAAATTCCTATGTTCAAAAAAAAATATTAAAAGTGCAGCAACATCAAAAATGTAAAAATGACCAAAATTGGTTGACACTTTGCAGATGGCACATTCACCAACATTACTTTCACCATGATAATGAAAACAGCTTTTACAATAAAAATGTTTAACAGCTGGTACTGGAGGTGCTAAGCTCTGAACAAATGTAAGAATCTGATAAGAGGAAGTTGGTAAATTATGGTTTGTAGGGAGAAACTTGCAGGTAGTTTCAATGAGCCGCTGCAAACCATTCTTAGAAAGCTTGTTTTTTAAGTACAAATTCATAATGTCTAGAATACCCTCAAGAACAGAGAGATGACAGAGAGGAGAAGGATACAATTGGAGCTCAGAAAAAAGAATAGCTTTAGAAAGTGCATTGTCTGCTGAACGGATGTTTTCTGTAGATTCATCCAATTCACCTATTTCTAACACATTATTTGACTCAGAATATTGAGACAAATCATGCTGTTCTTCTTCAGCTTCTGATCCACTGTCACTGCTCTGTTTTTCTGAATCAGAGTGTGTCTCTTCATGATCACTGTTATTGTCACTTGAACTTTCATTATCATTGTCACTTGAACTTGCATTCATGTTTAAGTTGGATGGAGAAAGAAATAATGCTTCAATGTTGGTGGGGATGACACGAGAGCAAGTTGATGTGGATGTGGGGTATTCTTTAAGAGGAGTGCTCGAATAGCTAGGGTCCTCCACAGATGTATCCAATTGATCTAGAAGTCAAAAGAGAAAAGTATTTAAAATATCTTGTCTCAATTTTACTTGAGAAACAATATTGAGAATATACAAACTTACCAGTAGCCAATAGTGTTTGGTCATGGGCAGATGAGTTCAAGCAACGTCAAAGTCGAATTTCGCGTTCCTTTTGAAGCAGAGGACCGATTTAGTGCGTGCCTTTGCGATCCCGCAAAGTCCCAGTGCGATTGGCGACGATGACTTTCGAGGAGATTCTTTAGAATCGTGCTATGTGAAGCGCCGAAAGCACTCAACGTCAAAGTCGTATTTTGCGTTTCTATTATAGCAGAAAAGCGATTTAGAGCGTGCCATTGCGATCCCGCATAGTCCCAGTGCAATTAGTGACGATGACACTCGAGGAGATTCTTTAGCGTCGTGCTACGTGAAGTGTCGAAAGCACACAAAGTCAAAGGCGCATTTCGCGTTTCTATTGAAGCAGAAAAGCGATTTAGAGCGTGCCGTTGCGATCCCTTATAGTCCCAGTGCGATTGGCGACGATGACTTTCGAGGAGATTCTTTAGCATCGTGCTAAGTGAAGTGCCGAAAGCACTCAACGTCAAAGTCGAATTTCGCGTTCCTTTTGAAGCAGAGGACCGATTTAGTGCGTGCCCTTGCGATCCCGCAAAGTCCCAGTGCGATTAGCAACGATGACTTTCGAGGAGATTCTTTAGCATCGTGCTATGTGAAGTGCCGAAAGCACTCAACGTCAAAGTCGAATTTCGCGTTCCTTTTGAAGCAGAGGACCGATTTAGTGCGTGCCCTTGCGATCCCGCAAAGTCCCAGTGCGATTGGCGACGATGACTTTCGAGGAGATTCTTTAGAATCGTGCTACGTGAAGCGCCGAAAGCACTCAACGTCAAAGTCGTATTTTGCGTTTCTATTATAGCAGAAAAGCGATTTAGAGCGTGCCATTGCGAACCCGCATAGTCCCAGTGCGATAGGCGACGATGACCCTTGAGGAGATTCTTTAGCGTCGTGCTACGTAAAGTGCCGCAAACAAGAACAGTCAATGTGGAAGTTCGCGTTCCTTTTGAAGCAAAGGACCGATTTAGAGCGTGCCGTTGCGATCCCTTATAGTCCCAGTGCGATTGGCGACGATGACTTTCGAGGAGATTCTTTGGCATCGTGCTATGTAAAGTGCCGAAAGCACTCAACGTCAAAGTCGTATTTTGCGTTTCTATTGAAGCAGAAAAGCGATTTAGAGCGTGCCCTTGCGATCCTGCATAGTACCAGTGCGATTGGCGACGATGACTCTTGAGGAGAATCTTTAGCGTCGTGCTACGTGAAGTGCCGCAAACACGAACAGTCAATGTGGAAGTTCGCGTTCCTTTTGAAGCAGAGGACCAATTTAGAGCGTGCCCTTGCGATCCCGCATAGTCCCAGTGCGATTGGCGACGATGACTTTCCAGGAGATTCTTTAGCGTCGTGCTACGTGAAGTGTCGAAAGCACACAAAGTCAAAGGCGCATTTCGCGTTTCTATTGAAGCAGAAAAGCGATTTAGAGCGTGCCGTTGCGATCCGTTATAGTCCCAGTGCGATTGGCGACGATGACTTTCGAGGAGATTCTTTAGCATCGTGCTAAGTGAAGTGCCGAAAGCACTCAACGTCAAAGTCGAATTTCGCGTTCCTTTTGAAGCAGAGGACCGATTTAGTGCGTGCCCTTGCGATCCCGCAAAGTCCCAGTGCGATTGGCGACGATGACTCTTGAGGAGATTCTTTAGCGTCGTGCTAAGTGAAAAGCCGAAAACACGAACAGGCAATGAAGAAGTTGCGTTCCTTTTGAAGCAGAGGACCAATTTAGGGCGTGCCGTTGCGATCCCTTATAGTCCCAGTGCGATTGGCGACGATGACTTTCGAGGAGATTCTTTAGCATCGTGCTAAGTGAAGTGCCGAAAGCACTCAACGTCAAAGTCGAATTTCGCGTTCCTTTTGAAGCAGAGGACCGATTTAGTGCGTGCCCTTGCGATCCCGCAAAGTCCCAGTGCGATTGGCGACGATGACTTTCGAGGAGATTCTTTAGCATCGTGCTATGTGAAGTGCCGAAAGCACTCAACGTCAAAGTCGAATTTCGCGTTCCTTTTGAAGCAGGGGACCGATTTAGTGCGTGCCCTTGCGATCCCGCAAAGTCCCAGTGCGATTGGCGACGATGACTCTTGAGGAGATTCTTTAGCGTCGTGCTAAGTGAAAAGCCGAAAACACGAACAGTCAATGAAGAAGTTCGCGTTCCTTTTGAAGCAGAGGACCAATTTAGGGCGTGCCCTTGCTATCCCGCATAGTCCCAGTGCAATTGGTGACGATGACACTCGAGGAGATTCTTTAGCGTCGTGCTACGTGAAGTGTCGAAAGCACACAAAGTCAAAGGCGCATTTCGCGTTTCTATTGAAGCAGAAAAGCGATTTAGAGCGTGCCGTTGCGATCCCTTATAGTCCCAGTGCGATTGGCGACGATGACTCTTGAGGAGAATCTTTAGCGTCGTGCTACGTGAAGTGCAGCAAACACGAACAGTCAATGTGGAAGTTCGCGTTCCTTTTGAAGCAGAGGACCGATTTAGTGCGTGCCCTTGCGATCCCGCAAAGTCCCAGTGCGATTGGCGACGATGACTTTCGAGGAGATTCTTTAGAATCGCGCTACGTGAAGCGCCGAAAGCACTCAACGTCAAAGTCGTATTTTGCGTTTCTATTATAGCAGAAAAGCGATTTAGAGCGTGCCATTGCGAACCCGCATAGTCCCAGTGCGATAGGCGACGATGACCCTTGAGGAGATTCTTTAGCGTCGTGCTACGTAAAGTGCCGCAAACAAGAACAGTCAATGTGGAAGTTCGCGTTCCTTTTGAAGCAAAGGACCGATTTAGAGCGTGCCGTTGCGATCCCTTATAGTCCCAGTGCGATTGGCGACGATGACTTTCGAGGAGATTCTTTGGCATCGTGCTATGTAAAGTGCCGAAAGCACTCAACGTCAAAGTCGTATTTTGCGTTTCTATTGAAGCAGAAAAGCGATTTAGAGCGTGCCCTTGCGATCCTGCATAGTACCAGTGCGATTGGCGACGATGACTCTTGAGGAGAATCTTTAGCGTCGTGCTACGTGAAGTGCCGCAAACACGAACAGTCAATGTGGAAGTTCGCGAAATTCGCGTTTGACTCTTCGTGTTTTTTGCACTTCACGTAGCACGACGCTAAAGAATCTCTCTAAAAGTCATCGTCGCCAACTGTACTGGGACTAGCGGGATCGCAAGGGCACGCTCTAAATCGGTCCTCTGCTTCAATAGAAACGCGAAATTTGACTTTGACTTTTCGTGTTCTTGGCACCTCACGTAGCACGACGCCAAAGAATCTCCTCAGAAGCTATCGTCGCCAATCGCACTGGGACTATGCGGGATCGCAAGGGCACGCTCTAAATCGGTCCTCTGCTTCAATAGGAACGCGAAATTCGACTTTGACTTTTCGTGTGTTCGGCACTGCACGTAGCACGACGCTAAAGAACTTCTTCAAAAGCCATCGTCGCCGATCGCACTGGGACTATGCGGGATCGCAATGGGACGCTCTAAATCGGTCCTCTGCTTTAATAGGAACGCGAAATTAGACTTTGACTTTTGTGTGATCGGCACTTCACGTAGCACGACGCCAAAGAATCGCCCCAAAAGTCATCGTCGCCAATCGCACTGGGACTATGCGGGATCGCAAGGGCACGCTCTAAAACGGTCCTTTGCTGCAATAGGAACGCGAAATTCGACTTTGACTTTTCGTGTTTTCTGCACTTCACGTAGCACGACGCTAAAGAATCTCTTTAAAAGTCATCGTCGCCAATCGCACTGGGACTAGCGGGATCGCAAGGGCACGCTCTAATTTGGTCCTCTGCTTCAATAGGAACGCGAAATTTGACTTTGACTTTTCGTGTTTTTGGCACCTCACGTAGCGCGACGCCAAAGAATCTCCTCAAAAGTCATCGTCGCCAATCGCACTTGGACTATGCGGGATCGCAAGGGCACGCTCTTAATCGGTCCTCTGCTTCAATGGGAACGCGAAATTCGACTTTGACTTTTCGTCTCTTCGGCACTTCACGTAGCACGACGCTAAAGAATCTCCTCAAAAGTCATCGTCGCCAATCGCACTTGGACTATGCGGGATCGCAAGGGCACGCTCTTAATCGGTCCTCTGCTTCAATAGGAACGTGAAAATCGACTTTGACTTTTCTTGTTTTCGGTACTTCACGTAGCACGACGCTAAAGTATCTCCTCAAAAGTCATCGTCGCCAATCGCACTGGGACTATGCGAAATCGCAATGGCACGCTCTTAATCGGTCCTCTGCTTCAATAAGAACGTGAAATTCGACTTTGACTTTTCGTGTTCTTGGCACCTCACATAGCACGACGCTAAAGAATCTCCTCAAAAGCCATCGTCGCCAATCGCACTGCGACTATGCGGGACCGCAAGGGCACGCTCTTAATCGGTCCTCTGCTTCAATAGGAACGCGAAATTTGACTTTGACTTTTCGTGTTCTTGGCACCTCACATAGCGCGACGCCAAAGAATCTCCTCAAAAGTCATCGTCGCCAAACGCACTGGGACTATGCGGGATCGCAAGGGCACGCTCTAAAACGGTCCTTTGCTTCAATGTGAACGCGAAATTTGACTTTGACTTTTCGTGTGTTCGGCACTTCACGTAGCACGACGCTAAAGAATCTTCTCAAAAGTCATCGTCGCCAATCGCACTGGGACTATGCGGGATCGCAAGGGCACGCTCTAAATCGGTCCTCTGCTTCAATAGGAACGCGAAATTTGACTTTGACTTTTCGTGTTCTTGGCACTTCACGTAGCACGACGCTAAAGAATCTCCTCAAAAGTCATCGTCGCCAATCGCACTGGGACTATGCGCGATCGCAAGGGCACGCTCTAAAACGGTCCTCTGCTGCAATAGGAACGCGAAATTCGACTTTGACTTTTCGTGTTTTCGGCACTTCACGTAGCACGACGCTAAAGAATCTCTTGAAAAGTCATCGTCGCCAATCGTACTGGGACTAGCGGGATCGCAAGGGCACGCTCTAAATCGGTCCTCTGCTTCAATAGAAACGCGAAATTTGACTTTGACTTTTCGTGTTCTTGGCACCTCACGTAACACGACGCCAAAGAATCTCCTTAAAAGTCATCGTCGCCAAACGCACTGGGACTATGCGGGATCGCAAGGGCACGCTCTAGAACGGTCCTTTGCTTCAATGTGAACGCGAAATTCGACATTGACTTTTCGTGTGTTCGGCACTTCACGTAGCACGACGCTTAAGAATCTTCTCAAAAGTCATCGTCGCCAATCGCACTGGGACTATGCGGGATCGCAAGGGCACGCTCTAAATTGGTCCTCTGCTTCAATAGGAACGCGAAATTTGACTTTGACTTTTCGTGTTCTTGGCACCTCACGTAGCGCGACGCCAAAGAATCTCCTCAAAAGCCATCGTCGCCAATCGCACTGCGACTATGCGGGATCGCAAGGGCACGCTCTACAACGGTCCTCTGCTTCAATGGGAACGCGAAATTCGACTTTGACTTTTCGTCTCTTCGGCACTTCACGTAGCACGACGCTAAAGAACCTTCTCAAAAGTCATCGTCGCCAATCGCACTGGGACTATGCGGGATCGCAAAAGCACGCTCCAAATCGGTCCTCTGCTTCAAAAGGAACGCAAAATTCGACTTTGACTTTTCGTGTTTTCGGCACTTTACGTAGCGCGACGCTAAAGAATCTCCTCAAGAATCATCGTCGCCAATCGCACTGGGACTTTGCGGGATCGCAAGGGCACGCCCTAAATCGGTCCTCTGCTTCAAAAGGAACGCGAACTTCTTCATTGACTGTTCGTGTTTGCGGCTTCTCACTTAGCACGACGCTAAAGAATCCCCTCAAGAGTCATCGTCGCCAATCGCACTGGGACTATGCGGGATCGCAACGGCACGCCCTAAATCGGTCCTCTGCTTCAAAAGGACGCGAACTTCTTCATTGACTGTGTTGCGATCCCGCATAGTCCCAGTGCGATTTGCGACGATTACTCTTGAGGAGATTCTTAAGCGTCGTGCTACGTGAAGTGCCGCAAACACGAACAGTCAATGTGGATGTTCGCGTTCCTTTTGAAGCAAAGGACCGATTAAGAGCGTGCTCTTGCGATCCCGCATTGTCCCAGTGCAATTAGCGACGATGACACTCGAGAAGATTCTTTAGCGTCGTGCTACGTGAAGTGCCGAAAACACGAAAAGTCAAAGTCGAATTTCGCGTTCCTATTGCAGCAGAGGACCGTTTTAGAGCGTGCCCTTGCGATCGCGCATAGTCCCAGTGCGATTGGCGACGATGACTTTTGAGGAGATTCTTTAGCGTCGTGCTACGTGAAGTGCCAAGAACACGAAAAGTCAAAGTCAAATTTCGCGTTCCTTTTGAAGCAGAGGACCGATTTAGAGCGTGCCCTTGCGATCCCGCATAGTCCCAGTGCGATTGGCGACGATGACTTTTGAGAAGATTCTTTAGCGTCGTGCTACGTGAAGTGCCGAACACACGAAAAGTCAAAGTCGAATTTCGCGTTCACATTGAAGCAAAGGACCGTTTTAGAGCGTGCCCTTGCGATCCCGCATAGTCCCAGTGCGTTTGGCGACGATGACTTTTGAGGAAATTCTTTGGCGTCGTGCTACGTGAAGTGCCGAAGAGACGAAAAGTCAAAGTCGAATTTCGCGTTCCCATTGAAGCAAAGGACCGTTTTAGAGCGTGCCCTTGCGATCCCGCATAGTCGCAGTGCGATTGGCGACGATGACTTTTGAGGAGATTCTTTAGCGTCGTGCTTCGTGAAGTCCCGATCACACGAAAAGTCAAAGTCGAATTTCGCGTTCCTATTGCAGCAGAGGACCGATTTAGAGCATGCCCTTGCGATCCCGCATTGTCCCAGTGCGTTTGGCGACGATGACTTTTGAGGAGGTTCTTTAGCGTCGTGCTACGTGAAGTGCCGAAGAGACGAAAAGTCAAAGTCGAATTTCGCGTTCCCATTGAAGCAGAGGACCGTTTTAGAGCGTGCCCTTGCGATCCAACATAGTCCCAGTGCGATTGGCGACGATGGCTTTTGAGGAGGTTCTTTAGCGTCGCGCTAAGTAAAGTGCCGGAAACACGGAAAGTCAAAGTCGAATTTCGCGTTCCTTTTGAAGCAGAGGACCGATTAAGAGCGTGCCCTTGCGATCCCGCATAGTCCCAGTGCGATTGGCGACGATGACTTTTGAGGAGATTCTTTAGCGTCGTGCTACGTGAAGTACCGAAAACACGAAAAGTCAAAGTCGAACTTCGCGTTCCTATTGAAGCAGAGGACCGATTTAGAGCGAGCCCTTGCGATCCCGCATAGTCCCAGTGCGATTGGCGACGATAGCTTTTGAGGAGATTCTTTAGCGTCGCGCTACGTAAAGTGCCGAAAACACGAAAAGTCAAAGTCGAATTTCGCGTTCCTATTGAAGCAAAGGACTGTTTTAGAGCGTGCCCTTGCGATCCCGCATAGTCGCAGTGCGATTGGCGACGATGACTTTTGAGGAGATTCTTTAGCGTCGTGCTTCGTGAAGTCCCGATCACACGAAAAGTCAAAGTCGAATTTCGCGTTCCTATTGCAGCAGAGGACCGATTTAGAGCATGCCCTTGCGATCCCGCATTGTCCCAGTGCGTTTGGCGACGATGACTTTTGAGGAGGTTCTTTAGCGTCGTGCTACGTGAAGTGCCGAAGAGACGAAAAGTCAAAGTCGAATTTCGCGTTCCCATTGAAGCAGAGGACCGTTTTAGAGCGTGCCCTTGCGATCCAACATAGTCCCAGTGCGATTGGCGACGATGGCTTTTGAGGAGGTTTTTTAGCGTCGCGCTAAGTAAAGTGCCGGAAACACGGAAAGTCAAAGTCGAATTTCGCGTTCCTTTTGAAGCAGAGGACCGATTAAGAGCGTGCCCTTGCGATCCCGCATAGTCGCAGTGCGATTGGCGACGATGGCTTTTGAGGAGATTCTTTGGCGTCGCGCTACGTGAGGTGCCAAGAACACGAAAAGTCAAAGTCAAATTTCGCGTTCCTATTGAAGCAGAGGACCGATTTAGAGCGTGCCCTTGCGATCCCGCTAGTCCCAGTGCGATTGGCGACGATGACTTTTGAGCAACTCGACAATTGAAATCATTGCTAGCCATAATTCACTTTTGCCTCCCTTTCTGACTCTAAGACCATCAGCACTAAGAGAAAGATTCACATCATACCTCGCTCTATTTTTATTTAAAGATTGATACACACTACCATCTTTTAAATCGGTCAGTAGCTTAGGATCTCTATTACTTCTTTTTCTTGCTTCATTATCCATAAGATCTGCCAAATTCCTACGTTCAAAAAAAATATTAAAAGTGCAGCAACATCAAAAATGTAAAAATGACCAAAATTGGTTGACACTTTGCAGATGGCACATTCACCAACATTACTTTCACCATGATAATGAAAACAGCTTTTACAATAAAAATGTTTAACAGCTGGTACTGGAGGTGCTAAGCTCTGAACAAATGTAAGAATCTGATAAGAGGAAGTTAGTAAATTATGGTTTGTAGGGAGAAACTTGCAGGTAGTTTCAATGAGCCGCTGCAAACCATTCTTAGAAAGCTTGTTTTTTAAGTACAAATTCATAATGTCTAGAATACCCTCAAGAACAGAGAGATGACAGAGAGGAGAAGGATACAATTGGAGCTCAGAAAAAAGAATAGCTTTAGAAAGTGCATTGTCTGCTGAACGGATGTTTTCTGTAGATTCATCCAATTCACCTATTTCTAACACATTATTTGACTCAGAATATTGAGACAAATCATGCTGTTCTTCTTCAGCTTCTGATCCACTGTCACTGCTCTGTTTTTCTGAATCAGAGTGTGTCTCTTCATGATCACTGTTATTGTCACTTGAACTTTCATTATCATTGTCACTTGAACTTGCATTCATGTTTAAGTTGGATGGAGAAAGAAATAATGCTTCAATGTTGGTGGGGATGACACGAGAGCAAGTTGATGTGGATGTGGGGTATTCTTTAAGAGGAGTGCTCGAATAGCTAGGGTCCTCCACAGATGTATCCAATTGATCTAGAAGTCAAAAGAGAAAAGTATTTAAAATATCTTGTCTCAATTTTACTTGAGAAACAATATTGAGAATATACAAACTTACCAGTAGCCAATAGTGTTTGGTCATGGGCAGATGAGTTCAAGCCTTTCTGAATATTTTCCTCTGAAATAAGAGAAGTGTCCTGCAAAAAAAAAAAATTGACTTCAACAACAACATAATAACAAGTGCAACAAGTGTCTACTCTCCTTTGTTGTTCTTTTATGCATATTTTTTAACTTAAGCAAAAACAAAGACAGTAAGGTACTTAATTTTTGACAGAACAAGCTAAGGATTATCAGGTGCTACCACAAGGAACTCAGATTCATCACATCTCATTTTCACTTACTTGTAAGAAACAATTTATTTGTTTCCTGGTAAAAGTGCCCCTCAAAATACAAGTGAGCAAAATATATACATTTCCAGTTTCCTATGTACTTTGAGGTGATCCTTTTTAATAAATACCAAGATCTGTGTCTGCTCTGTTAGGTTATTTGAGCAGAATAAAAATAGGAGAAACAAAGAAAGTGTAGTAGATACCTAAAGTTTAACAGCTTGAAACAGCTGCATCTTACTGACCCCTCAAACAAGCTCTAAATCGGTCCTCTGCTTCAATAGAACGCGAAATTCGACTTTGACTTTTCGTGTGTTCGGCACTTCACGTAGCACGACGCTAAAGATCTCCTCAAAAGTCATCGTCGCCAATCGCACTGCGACTATGCGGATCGCAAGGCACGCTCTAAATCGGTCTCTGCTTCAATAGGAACGCGAAATTCGACTTTGACTTTTCGTGTTTTCGGCACTTCACGTAGCACGACGCTAAAGAATCTCCTCAAAAGTCATCGTCGCCAATCGCACTGGCACTATGCGGGATCGCAAGGGCACGCTCTAAATCGGTCCTCTGCTTCAATAGAAACGCGAAATTCGACTTTGACTTTTCGTGTTTTGGCACTTCACGTAGCACGACGCTAAGAATCTCCTCAAAAGTCATCGTCGCCAATCGCACTGTCCCATGCGATTGGCGACGATGACTTTTGAGGAGATTCTTTAGCGTCGTGCTACGTGAAGTTCCAAACACACGAAAAGTCAAGTCAATTTCGCGTTCCTATTGAGCAGAACCGTTTCAGAGCGTGCCCTTGCGATCCCGCACGTCCCGTGCGATTGGCGACGATGACTTTTGAGAGATTCTTTAGCGTCGTGCTACTTGAAGTGCCGAAAAACGAAAAGTCAAGTCGAATTTCGCGTTCCTTTTGAGCAGAGGACCGATTTAGAGCGTGCCTTTCGATCCCGCCATTGTCCCATGCGATTGGCGACGATGACTTTTGAGGAGATTTCTTAACGTCGTGCTACGTGAAGTGCCGAACACCGAAAAGTCAAGTCGAATTTCGCGTTCCATTGAAGCAAGGGACCGTTTTAGAGCGTGCCCTTGCGATCCCGCATAGTCCCAGTGCGTTGGCGACGATGACTTTTGAGGAGATTCTTTAGCGTCGTGCTACGTGAAGTGCCGAAGACACGAAAAGTCAAAGTCGAATTTCGCGTTCCCATTGAAGCAGAGGACCGTTTTGAGCGTGCCCTTGCCGATCCCCTCTCCGCGTGCGATTGCGACGATGACTTTTGAGGGATTCTTTAGCGTCGTGCTACGTGAGTGCCGAAACACAAAAGTCAAGCGAATTTCGCGTTCCTATTGAGCAGAGGACCGATTTAGAGCGTGCCTTGCGATCCCGCACAGTCCCAGTGCGATTGGCGACGATGACTTTTGAGAGATTCTTTAGCGTCGTGCTACGTGAAGTGCCGAAAACACGAAAAGTCAAAGTCGAATTTCGCGTTCCTATTGCAGCAGAGGACCGATTTAGAGCGTGCCCTTGCGATCCCGCATAGTGCCAGTGCGATTTCGACGATGACTTTTGAGGAGATTCTTTAGCGTCGTGCTACGTGAAGTGCCGAAAACACGAAAAGTCAAAGTCGAATTTCGCGTTCCTATTGCAGCAGAGACCGATTTAGAGCGTGCCCTTGCGATCCCGCATAGTCCCAGTGCGATTGGCGACGATGACTTTTGAGGAGATTCTTTAGTGTCGGCTACGTGAAGGCCGAACACACGAAAAGTCAAAGTCGAATTTCGCGTTCACATGAAGCAAAGGACCGATTTAGAGCGTGCCCTTGCGATCCCGCATAGTCCAAGTGCGTTTGCGACGATGACTTTTGAGGAGATTCTTTAGCGTCGTGCTACGTGAAGTGCCGAAAACACGAAAAGTCAAAGTCGAATTTCGCGTTCCTATTGCAGCAGAGGACGTTTAGAGCGTGCCCTTGCGATCCCGCATAGTCCCAGTGCGTTTGGCGACGATGACTTTTGAGGAGATTCTTTAGTCGTGCTACGTGAAGTGCCGAACACACGAAAAGTCAAAGTCGAATTTCGCGTTCACATTGAAGCAAAGGACCGTTTTAGAGCGTGCCCTTGCGATCCCGCATAGTCCCAGTGCGTTTGGCGACGATGACTTTTGAGGAGATTCTTTAGCGTCGTGCTACGTGAAGTGACGAAGACACGAAAAGTCAAAGTCGAATTTCGCGTTCCATTGAAGCAGAGGACCGTTTAGAGCGTGCCCTTGCGATCCCGCATAGTCCCAGTGCGTTTGGCGACGATGACTTTTGAGGAGATTCTTTAGCGTCGTGCTACGTGAAGTGCGAAACACACGAAAAGTCAAAGTCGAATTTCGCGTTCTATTGCAAGCAGAGGACCGTTTTAGAGCGTGCCCTTGCGATCCCGCATAGTCCCAGTGCGATTGGCGACGATGACTTTGAGGAGATTCTTTAGCGTCGTGCTACGTGAGTGCCAAACACCGAAAGTCAAAGTCGAATTTCGCGTTCCTATTGAAGCAGAGGACCGATTTAGAGCGTGCCCTTGCCATCCCGCACAGTCCCAGTGCGATTGGCGACGATGACTTTTGAGGAGATTCGTTAGCGTCGTGCTACGTGAAGTGCCGAAAACACGAAAAGTCAAAGTCGAATTTCGCGTTCCTATTGAAGCAGAGGACCGATTTAGAGCGTGCCCTTGCGATCCCCCAGTGCCCGTGCGATTGGCGACGATGACTTTTGAGGAGATTCTTTAGCGTCGTGCTACGTGAAGTGCCGAAACACGAAAAGTCCAAGTCGAATTTCGCGTTCCTATTGAAGCAAAGGACCGATTTAGAGCGTGCCCTTGCGATCCCGCATAGTCCCAGTGCGTTTGGCGACGATGATTTTGAGGAGATTCTTTAGCGTCGTGCTACGTGAAGTGCCGAACACACGAAAAGTCAAAGTCGAATTTTCGGTTCCTATTGCAGCAGAGGACCGATTTAGAGCGTGCCCTTGCGATCCCGCATAGTCCCAGTGCGTTTGGCGACGATGACTTTTGAGGAGATTCTTTAGTGTCGTGCTACGTGAAGTGCCGAACACACGAAAAGTCAAAGTCGAATTTCGCGTTCCATTGCAGCAGAGGACCGTTTTAGAGCGTGCCCTTGCGATCCCGCATAGTCCCAGTGCTTTGGCGACGATGACTTTTGAGGAGATTCTTTAGCGTCGTGCTACGTGAAGTGCCAAACACACGAAAGTCAAAGTCGAATTTCGCGTTCCTATTGAAGCAGAGGACCGATTAGAGCGTGCCCTGCGATCCCGCACAGTCCCGTGCGATTGGCGACGATGACTTTTGAGGAGATTCGTTAGCGTCGTGCTACGTGAAGTGCCGAAAACACGAAAAGTCAAAGTCGAATTTCGCGTTCCTATTGCAGCAGAGGACCGATTTAGAGCGTGCCCTTGCGATCCCGCATAGTCCCAGTGCGTTTGGCGACGATGACTTTTGAGGAGATTCTTTAGCGTCGTGCTACGTGAAGCCGAACACACGAAAAGTCAAAGTCGAATTTCGCGTTCCATTGAAGCAGAGGACCGATTTTAGAGCGTGCCCTTGCGATCCCGCATAGTCCCAGTGCGTTTGGCGACGATGACTTTTGAGGAGATTCTTTAGCGTCGTGCTACGTGAAGTGCCAACACACGAAAAGTCAAAGTCGAATTTCGCGTTCCTATTGAAGCAGAGGACCGTTTAGAGCGTGCCCTTGCGATCCCGCATATCCCAGTGCGTTTGGCGACGATGACTTTTGAGGAGATTCTTTAGCGTCGTGCTACGTGAAGTGCCGAAAACACGAAAAGTCAAAGTCGAATTTCGCGTTCCTATTGAAGCAGAGGACCGTTTAGAGCGTGCCCTTGCGATCCCGCATAGTCCCGTGCGTTTGGCGACGATGACTTTTGAGGAGATTCTTTAGCGTCGTGCTACGTGAAGTGCCGAAACACGAAAGTCAAAGTCGAATTTCGCGTTCCATTGCAGCAGAGGACCGATTTAGAGCGTGCCCTTGCGATCCCGCATAGTCCCAGTGCGTTTGGCGACGATGACTTTTGAGGAGATTCTTTAGTGTCGTGCTACGTGAGTTGCCGAACACACGAAAAGTCAAAGTCGAATTTCGCGTTCCATTGAGCAAGGACCGTTTTTGAGCGTGCCCTTGCGATCCCGCATAGTCCCAGTGCGATTGGCGACGATGACTTTTGAGGAGATTCTTAGCGTCGTGCTACGTGAAGTGCCGAACACACAAAAAGTCAAAGTCGAATTTCGCGTTCCTATTGCAGCAGAGGACCGTTTTAGAGCGTGCCCTTGCGATCCCGCATAGTCCCAGTGCGATTGGCGACGATGACTTTTGAGGAGATTCTTTAGCGTCGTGCTACGTTGAAGTGCCAAACACACGAAAAGTCAAGTCGAATTTCGCGTTCCTATTGAAGCGAGGACCGATTAGAGCGTGCCCTTGCGATCCCGCATAGTCCCAGTGCGATTGGCGACGATGACTTTTGAGGAGATTCTTTAGCGTCGTGCTACGTAAAGTGCCGAACACGAAAAGTCAAAGTCGAATTTCGCGTTCCTATTGCAGCAGAGGACCGATTTAGAGCGTGCCCTTGCGATCCCGCATAGTCCCAGTGCGATTGGCGACGATGACTTTTGAGGAGATTCTTTAGCGTCGTGCTACGTGAAGTGCCGAAAACACGAAAAGTCAATTCGAATTTCGCGTTCCTATTGAAGCAGAGGACCGATTTAGAGCGTGCCCTTGCGATCCCGCATAGTCCCAGTGCGATT